AATTGTTTCAAGGTTTCAATATCTTCTACAGTAAAGAAATCTGATTAACCTTGCTTAACCCAATGTTTACCAAATGTATTGACTGACAGAATACTTTTTACATCAGACCAATTAACATATTCTGAGACCAGTGTTTCAGGAAGCAAATGCTGCTAAAATATCTTCGCAATTACTGCTAGAATGAAATCCATATCCAGTTAACAGTGTTTTTCAGTGTTTTGGAACCTTAGTAGACAACTTGATACTGGTTTAGAGTCTCGAATTATTGACGTTTTAAGAAGTCTGCAGGTGAATTATAATTGGCTACATACAAAACAATGCACTTAGAGCATTATTTTAAGTTCCAGCACTTGGAAATTTGCCAGGAATACTTTGGAAATGGCAACTAAAGCGTGCATTTCATATATTAGGTTCTATGGAACTTTGCTGAATTTGGAGACAGAAATGCATTAAGCAGCATTTAGTAAAACTGGTTTTAAATGTGGGAGGAGTTAGTGTTTACTTGCAACACATAATTTGATGGGAGCCCTAAGGCTCTTTAAACCCCAAAGTGTTTTCCTCACATGCTATCGTTCAAGGAAATTCCAATTTTGGAGCTCTTCCACCTCTCATTCGAATTAGATAATGAAAACAACCCTGTCATTTTCTATCCTATGCCTGTGCTTAGGTTTTTTCTCTTCCTAAAATGTCCTTCTCCTTTATGTCTCAATCATTGCCCTTCATAATTCTTTAATAGTTTCAAATGACCCTTCCCCCCGACACCTTTCCTCATTCTCTCCATGGTGCCAGCCGTGTGTCCAGGCTTCTGCTGAGTTAATCCAAAGCTTTCCTATTTCCTCTATTTCTAAACAGGACTTCGCTTGCCTCTTTGTCATAACAGATTCTATGAAATACTGTTACTGGGAAACACGTATCATATTCCAGCAGTATTTTCATAATCACAGACAGTGTTTTGTTTATGATAACTAGTGTCTTTCACAGAGTAGAAATGCAAAATCATATGGCATGGAAACTTAAAATTTGGCCTTGACCATCACTTTTACATTAGGACAGTCACATGAAAATGCAGGTTGAAAATCACATTCTGAGGTTTTTTGTTTTGTTTTTCCTAAGATACACACTGACTACTTCACATGTAAACAAAGAATTTCTTTCTTGAGGATCCCAGCATTATTGGTAAGTTTTCTTGTTGTTGCTTGGGTCTGGCCATTTTTCAACTGGTTGAAATTTTTAAAAAGCAGTATGACACCTAAAATTACATTGTTAAATTCAGCTCTCTTATATTCTTTCCAGATAATTGTTTCTTCATTTTATTCGTAGTTAGAAATATTTAAAAGAAACTTTTAAATAATTTCAGACTTATAAAAAAGTTTCAAAAGTAGTACAGAAATTCCTTGACAGTTTGTAAGCAGCGTCTTAAATGTTAACGTCTTGTAATCAGGGAACAGTTATTGAAAACAAAAGATTAATACTGAACCCATTCTATTAACTAATTCATAGACCTATTTGAGTTTCCTTAGTTGTCTCCCTGAGGATACAGTCTAGGATACAATCCAGAATCCGACATTGCAGGTAGCTGTCAGGCACTTTGCCTCCAATCTGACATTTCTTCAGTCTTTCTTTGTGCATCAAGAATTTGACACTTATCAAGAGCACTATCCAGTTATTTTGTAGAACATCAATTTCAGGTTGTCTGCGATGTAAGCAGTCATTGTGGCCTTTGAAAAATAGATTCATAGTCTTAGGAATATTTCTGAAGATTATTTGGGTGGAAAACATTTGTTTCCCGAATGCTTTGTTGACTTACATCATTACTTTCAAAGTGAGAAAAATGCATGTTTTAGAGTCTACAAGAAAGGCAGAAATATCTTATTTTTCCTTTCATGATTATTTGTCCTATAATAGTCTTTGGAAACATTTATAATGAGATTGAGTTTCAGAGCTTTGTAAGCCTCTATTCACATGAGTATACGTCTTTTATCAAAAAATATTTTGAAAATGCGAAGTTATTTTCATTAGCATTCTCCAGAGAGACAAAATCAATAAGATACATATGTAGATAGATATATGAGAGGTGATTTGTTAGGGGAATTGGCTCATGTGATTATGGAGGCTGAGAAGTCCCGACACAGGCCATCTGCAAGCTGGAGATCCTGGGATGCCTGTAGCATGGCTCAGTACAAGTATTCAAGCTTCAGAACCAGCGAAGTCGAGGGTAAAACTCTCAGTCTGAGACTGAGGTCCTGAGAACCTGGGGAGCCTCTGGTGCAAATATCAGGGTCCAAATGCTGGACAGCCTGGAACTTTTGGTGTCTGAGTGTTACAGGAAAGGGGTACCGATCCAGATCCCTAGAGTAGGCTCTTGGATCTTGTGCAAGAAAAAATTCAGGGCAAGTCCACAGTGCAAAGCAAAAGCAAGTTTATTCATAAAGTAAAGTAGTGAAAGTACAGCTACTCCATAGACGGAGTAGGGTGTTCCTGAAAGTAAGAGAAGAAACACATCCACACTAGGTACAATACTTGTTTACGTACAGGATAAAAAAAGATTATGAGGAGATGTGCTCTGCTGCAAAAGTTTGTGATAAAGGATTACTTTTCTTAATTAGTGTATTTTGCAAGAATCAATATTGTGATCTTGAAAGCAAAATTAGGAATGCTTCTTTTCTCAAGGTAATAGAATATCAGGACACTTCTAAGTCTGGGTCTGTTTAGTAAACATTATCAATCTGTTCCCTTGCCCGTAAACATCTAGAGGCTAGGAATACCTACATTTCTGGGAATGCAACCCAGCCAGTCCCAGCCTCATTTTCCTATCCCTCACTGATAATGGAGTCGCTCTAGTTTGAAAGCCTCCAACACTAGGGCAGAAGAAAGGTGTTCTATCTCCAGGAGAGAGAGGGAATGAGAATTTACCTTTCTTCTGCCTTTTACATCCACATTGAGGGTGAATCTTCTCCACCCAATCCACCAACTCACACAGTAATCTCCTCAGGAAACACCCTACCAGACACACCCAGAGCTAATGCTTTACTGGCTCCCCAGGTAGTCTTTAATCCAATAAAGTTGACACCTAAAATTTATCATCACAGTCTTTTATTTTAAGCCACACACATTACACATTTTCATTCTTAGTAACTACGAGTTAGGTAGTATTAGACAACTTGAGATGTTGAAATTTAATTGTTTCAAGTTATCCATTAATTATCCTGGTTGGAAAGTCAGGCTTGATTGACGTACCTCTTTAATGAATAGCACAGATAAATCACATTAAAATACGATACTTTTAAAGTGATGTGTTAATTCTTTGACACACTTGCCTGCTGCCTTCCATTTTCCAATGTACCTTTCTCTCTGGAAAAAACAGACCCTGCTTTTTCACAAACTTCCTTACTCATTCTGACCAATTCCTGCACTGATCAATTTCGTAATCAATTTGCAATCTGATTTCTTTGCCTGCCACTTCATGAAACTGCTTGCTTCCTCAAAAAGTGCAAATACTCTTCTAAGCTAAATCTGCTACTTAATATGTGTCATCGACAATGCTGGTCACTTTTATTTTTCAGTGAAACCCTTACCCTCTTGTAACATCTGAAATACTCTCTCTTGGTTCCTCTACTGCTCTCTGAACATATCTTTTATTCTCATCTTCTGCTGCTTGTCTTTTCAAATATAGGCATTCCACAGGTTTATTCTCTAACCACACAGTGCATATGTTCTGGGCCATCTCAAATGCTCCCAAAGCTTCAGTTATTACCTTTATGCAACTTACTCAATCTATACCTTAAATTTAGATATTCATCCTGAACTTTTTGTTCTGAATTTCCTATAGGTACTACAGATTCAATTAGGCACTAAACTGAGATTATTAATTTCCCTTATAAACATCGATTTATTTCTCCTACTTTCCTTGATTTGGGCTGAAGTTAAATTCAGTGTTTAGGTTCTCCCATCCTACTTGTCTCCTGCTTCCTAACCCACATTATTTTAATCTGGATTACTGTATTCTCTCTCTCTCTCACTTTATGTTTGAACGTGATAATTTTTCATTTAGGTACAGCTTAAATTCTCTCTCAGTGATACCCTGTTCAATTTAGAAAGAATGAAAGAACTATCATGTAATTAACTTCATTGGATCATGTTTTCTCATTAGTTGTGGTTATTAGTTTATCATTATCTGTATTGTTTTCCTCACTGGACCATAAGTGTCTCAAGTAATGCTTGTGGAACTTGTAAGCCAGCCATTACCTTCTTTGTGTAATTTGTGAATTGTGCTGAAATGATTTACCCCTGGTTTGTTGTTGTTGTTGTTATTGTGTTGTATTGTGCTTTGTGATTCAGCCCTGCAAACTCCACTATGCTCTTCCCATGATAATGTTACACTGTAACATAGATCATTGGCATTCCAAAAAACCCATCCATCCATGTATTGATTTATTTGCAAAATATGGGCAAGTAAGCTAGAAATAAATCATTAATTTCCTCTCAGTCTCTCAGAGCAATATATTGGGCAGTTACTTGAGTGAGATTTTTTTTTTTAATCAAACCAAATATGCTGAGCCAGGAATAACATCAAATGTGTTTGTGATGTACTGTTGCTCTCATTAGTCAACTGCAGATCAAACAGGTATCTGTTCTAACACTTTGATTTTGAAACTTAATGCTGTGTTTGTTTAATTTACTTAATTAGGACCTCTTAACACCTTAGTTGCTTAAAACAACAACACAAACAACAGTAACACCCAGCTATTAGCCCAGCTGATGAAAGAATAAATGCAAATTTAACACTTTTTAATGATGAATACACACATTTTGATGCCTTGACAACATTCAATAAAAATCAAGTGTGCTAAGAGATAATCTACTAAGTTGCTGATCGTTTCTGGACCCGCATCTCCTAATAAATACTGAAAATAGCTAGAAGATATTGATCATTATTTAGGGGAAATATTTGTATGTATATGCATAAATGCAGTCTTTTATAATCTAAAAATACTTTTCAGGAGCTCTTTCTGAGATGAGGAGAACTCTTAATGTCAAGATTTGAACAAGAAGAGAATGGAATACACATATATTAAGTAACTTGCAAAATAAACCAATGTGATGAAGTTTCTAGTGTTCCATTGGGTAGTTATCACTTGTAAGTTGCATGCATTAAAAAATGCATACTTATGGTACTGTTATAAGCAGTTCTGAAATATTAACACAGTTGATCAAAATTGTTCTATCCTAAAAGCTTATTTTGATAAATTTGATGTAAAAGATACTTGGCTATCACTCATGGCAGGTGATTTTACTCTAATTTTTAATTAGGGAAAATTAAGATTGCTTATATTGTTAGACTATATGTATTTGTGATCCTACAACCATGGATTTTCTTAAGATGACATTTAGGATTATAATACTGGCTTTAATAACAAGCTAAGAATTTACAGTGTCTTAAAGTGTGGCTATTACTTGAGGTTATTCAGACTATTCAACACACATATGCAACTGTTAAATAAATATATCCTGATATTTACAGGGCTTTTATTTGTTTACAATAATAAGTTAGTTTAATGTAGTTTATAATAACCTTTAATGCGCTGGGTCATTTTCTGTTCTTGCTGTGTTTACTACAGTCAGTATATTAGGAATATATTTATTAGATACATCTCCTTTTTACTTCTTGTGCTGTTATACAGGGCCTCCCAGAGAATGAGTAGTAAGACAGTTGAAAGAGCAAAAGAAAAATAAGAGCAGAGAGTTCCAGAATCATTTCTGGTGCATGAATATAGACACACTGTTAGCTGTGTACTCCACCTCTCCCACCACCAACCCACCCCATGTTTACAGTGTTATGCAGGCACAAAGTACCTTTTTATCTGTAGAAGTCAGATTTCAAAAGCCATTTATAGGTCTTACTTTATTTAATGAGAAACATTCTTCTACACTAGAAGCCCTTAAATTTGGATCAGAGTAAGTTTTACACAAAATAATCATCACTCTGAAATTACATGCAATACATGGTGTATATATTTTTTTCTGTAGAGACCGTCAATGGGTTATTAATTTTTCAATGATAGTGATGACAGAAAAAGTTGTCTAAGATGATTTTACAAATTTAGAATAGATGTGATTAAAATGATTTTATGAAGATTTTGAAAGAATTGTGTTTATATTTTATTATCATGAATACTCCAGATACTGTTGACTGTAAAATTTGCGCCCTTATAACTAATTTTAATGATTTTTTAGAGGAATAAAAATATTTCAAAAGAGTTTGGTTCCCACTTTCCCTTTTGTCATTCTCTGAAACCTAAAACAAATACATATAGTTATTCTCCCAAATAAAAGAAGAATAAAATTTTATTCATGTTTGTTCTGTAGTCATTTTACAAACTCCTAAAATAGGCTTTTAGTTAATCAATCTATGGCTAAGTTTACTTTTTTAGAAGATACCTATTATTTTACAAGTATTCCCATTATATTCGCCTTATTATCTGAATATTGATCTCTATTACCTCCAGGTTATTCTGTTTTGTTTGTTTGCTTGCTTGCTTGCTTTTTATCACAATTAATAAATAGAAAAACTAGTTCTGACCCAATTATAATTTTTCTTCACTTACCTAGAAATTATTTGCTTTGTCTCCTACATGATATCTCTCTCCCTGCTAATGCTAAGGCATTGCCTCCAACCTCTGTTTATACTCAAAGTTACTTATTCTTTGGTATTACAACAGCATATTTTATTTTCATCAAACTCTATTAACAAAGATTCTCCAGCCCCTGTCTATACCAACTAATCACCAATTTTATCATTTTTATTAGATATGCTAGTTATAAAGAAAAAACTCTAGATATTTTGACGATTTCTTTGGTGGAGAAAAAGAGGAGAGTAAGGATATAGGAGAAAACAAATTCAGATTCTCATACTATACTCTCACAACATAGAACACTTCTATGACCAAATGTGTGTGGATTTTTCACCCCCACACACACTAAGCAATTATCCAGCAATTAATTCTGCAGTGGACACCAGCTGGGTGTCCTCTAATTCTATTTAATTCTGACTCTATCAACTTCAAGGTAGTTTCTGATCCCACAGGTTGAGGGCTCAGTCCTCTTACTGCCCTCACACACCACTTCAGATACCAGTCAGAAGTAATAGAACCCATATTTCTAACCAACTCTCTATAAACCAGGGTTCCCACAATCTTCTCTCTTTTTTTTTTTTGAGATGTAATTTTGCTCGTCACCCAGGCTGGAGTGCAATAGGGCAATCTCGGCTGACTGCAACCTCCACCTCCCGGGTTCAAGTGATTCTCCTGCCTCAGCTTCCCAAGTAGCTGGGATTACAGTTGTATGCTGCCACACCCCACTAATTTTTGTATTTTCAGCAGAGACGGGGTTTCACCATGTTAACCAGGCTAGTTTCGAACTCCTGACCTTAGGCGATTCACCCGCCTTGGCCTCTCAAAGTACTGGGGTTACAGGTAGGAGCCACCGCACCTGGCTGATCTTCTCTTGAGTTTGATTAATTTGCTACAGCAGCTCAGAGAAATCAAGGAAACGCTTATGTTTACTAGTTTATTATAAAGGATATTACAAAGGATACATATCAGCGATCAGGCAGATGGAAGAGATGCATAGGGAAAAGCATATAAGAACAGGTGCAATCTGGGTGTGGCCACGCCTGTAATTCCAGCTACTTGGGAGGCTGAGGCATCAAAACTGCTTGAACCTGGGAGCTGGAGATTGCCGTAAGCCGAGATCACACTACTACACTCCAACTTGGAGTGAGACTTTATTTCAAAACACAAAAAAACAAGTACAGAGCTTCCATGCCCTCTTTGGGTTTGTCATCTCCTAGGAACCTCCGCTTGTTCAGCTCTCTGGAAGCTCTGAACCCAGTCCTTTTAGGTTTTCATGTTTCATGGAAGTCTCTTTATCGTCATGATTGATTAAATTATCTACCATTAGTAATAAACTTAACCTCTCGCCTCTTTTCCCTCCCCCCAAACCTGGAGGGGCGGGCAAATAGCTCAAACCCTCTAATAATGCATTGGTTTATCCTGTGACCAGCCCCCTCACCATTTTATTATCATACTAGGTACTCTTATGACACTAGAGATTCCAAAAGTTGTAAGAGCTATGTATCGGGAAACAAGGTGAAGATCAAATATATATACAAGTGACCATTGAACAATGCAGGGAGTAGGGGTGGCACAGCAAAAAACCCACTTAGAAATTTTGACTCCCCAAAAACTTAATAGCCTACTGTTGACTGGAAGCCTTACTGATAACATAAGCAGTCAATTAACACGTATTTTATACGTTATATGCATTATATACTATATTCTCACAATAATCTAGAGAAAAAATGTTATTAAAACTATAAAGGAGAAAAAATATATCTACTATTTATTAAGTGGAAGAGGATCATCATAAAGCTCTTCATCTTCCTCATCTTCACATTGAGTAGGCTGAGGAGGGGAAGGAAGAAAGGGAGTTGGCTCTCCTGTCTAAGGCAACAGAGATGAGTTGGAGGAGGTGGAAAGGGAGGCAGGAGAGGCAGGTACACCTGAGTTACGAAAATACATCCTAACTTATATCTAATTACTGTTTAACTTCTCTAAAAATGTTTCTATGTGGTAACAATTCTTCCGCCATTTTGTTTGATTTTTGTGCCCATATCACAAAAGAGTTTGTCATAAAATAAGTCAACAGGAGTCTAGAATAATGGAAACCCCTCTGCTAAATTGTCTAATGCCTCTTTGATTTCTGGCATTACTTCTTCCGCATCTTCTTTCTCGTTGCCTGGTACTGGTTTAAACCTGCTTTCATTAATTCCTCTTGTGTACTGTCTACTATCTCCAAGACTCTCCAAGATTCATATCTTGAATCCCCCTCCAGCACATCATTTTTTCCGTATCCATTATCCTTTTCATGATTTCTTTGACTCTGTTGTAAATCCTGTAAGGCCATATATAACATCTGGACACAGCTTTTCCAGTAGAATTTATTGTTTCAGGTTTCATGGCTTTCACAACTTTTTCTATAACAACAATGGCATCTTCAATGGTGTAATTCTTCCAGACTTTCATGATGTGGCGCTGGGGTCCTCTTCCATAGCACTGACAAAGCTTTCCATGCATTACCATGCATATTGAGCTTTAAAAGTTCTTATGACCCCCTTTTCTAGAGGCTGAAATAGAGATGTTATGTTTGGGGGCAGGTAGGCCACTTCTGTACCATCAGTGTTAAACTCATAGGGTTCTGGGTGGCTGGTGGCATTGCCGTATGTCATAAGAACTTTAAGGCAGTTTACTGGAAAGGTACTTTCTGTTCAGGGTCAGTGCAGTCATGGAACCAATCCAGAAAAAGTGAAAGAGTTCTTGCCGTCCAGGTGTTCTTGTTGTACAACCAAAAGACCAGCAGCTGGTGTTTCTCTTTCACCTTAAAGGCTTGGGGATTAGCAGCTTTATGGACAAGGGCAGTCCTAATCATAAGCCAGACTGCATTGCACAAAGCAGTCGAGTTAGCCTATGCCTTCCTGCCTTAAATTTTGGTGCTTGCTTGCCTCTCTTCCTTACTAAAAAAATGTCCTTTGTGACATTTTTTTCCCCACTGACAATTGGGCATTTTTGTCTGCATTAAAGATCGGTTCAGGCAGAAAACCTTTCTCCTCAATGATTTTCTTAATGGTGTCCGGGAACACATTTGCTGCTTCTTGGTCAGCAGAAGCTGCTGCTGCTTCTGTTATCTTTACTTACTTTTTTTTTTTTTTTTTTTTTTTGAGATGGACTCTGTCACCCAGACTGGAGGGCAGTGGCATGATCTCGGCTCACTGCAACCTCTTTCTCCTGGGTTCAAGTGATTCTCCTGCCTCAGTCTCCTGAATAGCTGGGACTACAGGTAAACACCACCACACCTGGCTAATTTTTCTGTTTTTAGTAGAGACATGGTTTCACCATGTTGGCCAGGCTAGTCTTGACCTCCTGACCTAAGGTGATCTGCTGCTTCAGCCTATTACTTTGGGATTCATTGTAATCCCAAAGTGTTGGGATTACAGCTGTAAGCCACCTCACCCA